AGATGTTTCCAATCTGATAGTAAAACGCAAATCTGTGTTTTAGCCAAGAAGTAGTCCTCAGCCATAACATACTTCTCTTTTCAGAGTAATTTTGTAAACAGCATGCTTCTTAATTAAACAACATCAAAATGCACAATCCAAGTGACTCATTGCTGTATTTCTCCAGAATTGAGAAAAGACTGTGATTACTTGTAGGAGTTTCCTATGAGTAAGACTTGCATGTGCAGTCATATATTTACATACATGTACATGCATACACACACACAAACACACACACACACACCATACCACACCACACCTTTTCATCCCACATTGTGAATGATTTAGTCTATGTTCAAGATAAAAAAGAAAAACCCTGCGAAGTCACATTATAAAATCTCTGGATTTAATTGAAAGGTGGAAAAACATTTCCTGTGATTCTCAAATCAAAACTCCCTTGGGCCTCTTCACCAAGCATTTCAAATGCAGCTCTTGGCACTCAAACAAGAAAATGTTGCTTTGTTTAGGAAGTGATGACTGATGCTCAATTCATTGGTGCACAAGGAACTGCTGTGCCACCTTGGGTCTCCTCTGAGTATCCTTAATAAGCCCCACAGGTTGAGTTCAAAGACAGGGAGACTTGGCAGTATTCTGGAAACATTACACAAACTATATTAAGAGGAACTTAATGACCCTTTCTTTACTAGCTTTAATAATCTCAGATATTTTCTTCTGAGTCTGTATTTTTCCAGCATATGCTATACTATAGAGAAAATAATTTTTAATAAAATATACTCATTGATTTACATTTGCCTAAAGAAACTCAATGAAAGTTGTGTAAACTCTTCAAGCAGTTACTTAAATTAGAATGCCAAGTTCCTATCTAAATTTAGTAATAGATCCTGAGTGTAAACTTCATTTCAGTTGCAAACAATTATCATTTTACATATGACTAGCCACATAACTTTATTCTAACCTAAGTTACATTCTTCTTGATCATTTTCCCTTGTCCTCGTAGCTAGCCATGCCTTCATTTTCTTTTGCATGTACATCACATGTAAGAGATATTTTATTCCTCACTGTAATTACCATGGCCCACAATATCAATCCAAGCCTGCCTGCTATATGTGCTTCTCCTGGACTGAAGACTGCAGTGGAAGAACAACACAGAGTGTTCCTTTAGTGAATCTCCAAAAAGTAAATGCTGACACATAAATAGAAATAAATCTTTTAAAAATATGAAACTATTAGAAAACAATGAACACATAGGAGTTACATATGTATTGCAAAGACATAATGAAGCCAAATATTAAATCATGGTAAAGAGAAGGCAAAAGAGTGAAGAAAATGACAGAGAATTATCTTCCATTGTCCCAATCTAATAGTTCAAAGTACAAAATGAAAACCTAAGTAACAAGTATTGAATATCAGTTCTCATTTTTAACTGAACTAGTTTGTGTACAAAATAGTACTTTAAGCTATTATTTCTTATTTCTCTTGATTATTTTTCCATTCAAGAACATGGGAACACATGACATAACAATGAACAATGAATATATGAATTCTCTAGGAACTGGTTATACATTTTTAAAAATACTAATTCAAAGCAAATATAAAATGTTCTAGAAATGCCCAAATGTAGGTCTGGAGAGATGTCTCAGTAGTTAAGAGCACTGGCTGCTCTTCCAGAAACCCAAGTTCAATTATGAGTACCCAGATAAGGTGGCTCATGACCATTCTCACTCCAGTTTCAGGGAATCCAACACCATCTTCCAGTCTCCTCAGGCACTAGGAACACATGTGGTGCACAGACATACATGTAGACAAAACACATAAAATGAAATAAAATCTAAACAAAAGAAATACCAACTTTATTAGAAAACTGTAAAAGATGTACTGAAAACCCTTTGTGAATTACGGACTAACGTTACTGCCACAGTCAACTTTGAAAGCTGAGGCAATAGTTAGTTGCATCAGTTATTTTTTTTAATAAAGTAAGATATCACCATTAATGAGAAGTTGATAAACATGAAATACAGAATATATTAAGGAGTTCACTTCACTAAACCAGTGAATATTAACAAGAATAGAAATCAGGGCTTATTTGGGGCAACCAAAGAAATAAGGAAAACTTCAAGGTCTGTTGAGTTGTGTTGGGCCTCATGGGGGAAAGAAAATAGACTCTTGGCCTAGATTATGCTCTATCTTGTTTGCCCAATTCAAGCTTAGAGTAAATAGTCAAGATAACAGTAATTATCTCCATTTAACAATAAAGATTGGCCTTATCTCTAGATGAGGAGCTGTTAGCAACTGACAGCTGTTGAGAAAGGGAGCTAGTCCTTACCTTTTTTGATGCATCATACATACATAATATGACTACACAGTCATATTAATTGGGCTGAATAGGTTATCTATTTTATTTTTTATAAGGAAAGAATATGAATTTGGAGGGAACCATATTGGGGGTTCCTAAATAAAGTAGGAGGAGAATAAAATCAAAATTCATTGTACACACATAAGAAATTTTTAGAAATAAATAAGAATTTTATATTTTAAAGTTAATGTTTTAAAAGAAGAAACTGGGGCTTGAATACAGCTCATCTAATGTTTCTTAAGCAGGAAAAATGAAGGAAGTATGTAACTCAAAATCTGTCTGGCTTGCCTATTCTAGTGTGTTCTATTGCCTGTGTGCCATTAAATAGTATCAAAACTCAAGATGGGGCAGGGAGGAGCTTTGGAATTTGGTTGACAATGACTGTTCTTTATGTAAACAAAATATTTTCACTTATTATTTCTTTTATACCTGTATGAAATTTCAATTAAACAACAGCAAATAAACCTTATTGAAAGGAAAACAGATCCACTACAAAGCACTTGTGTGTGCTTCAGCATCTACAAATTTTAAGCTATACATCGAGTGTGAAATGATAGGTTCTGTTGAGAAACTTTACATCAAAATATGAAAGAAAAAACTTAGAATCTCCTTTCTTTCCAAAGTACACAAGAGATTAGATTGAGATATATTCTACAATCAGTAGGAAACAATTGAAGCATACATGGTCCTGGACGTCGTGGCTATTCAGACATTACTACACAGTACGGAAGCCTTGGAAATGACTTTTCACTGCAGTATTCCCAGCATTTCAGCCAATCAGTAAGAAACAAACTGTTCCACTATATGTATATACTCTCCTTTTTCTTACCCGACAATCATAAAGGAAAGCATAATATCTCTCAGAGAAATGTGCTTCCCCCCCCCCGAATTAAAAAGAAAAATTTAAATCCCTACATTTTGAATTTTTAAAATCACAAAACCCTCAGTGCTTCCCTTGTGGCCAGTGAAAGCAGCAGGATACAAATTGTTCCAATCTGATTCCTTCCTCATCCACCACAGACACAGCATCCCACCCTGCTTCTCTTCTGCTGGACACCTTCATTGGCCACTCAACTCAAATTAAATGGAAAAAGTAGAAGAAAGAGGCTTTCTTGAAATTCTTGTCAAGGTACAAATGTATAACCCCTCTGTAATTTCAAAACTTATCAGGCACCAGCACTCTGAACATTATAAATGCAATCCAAGAGTGTTACCATGAGGGTGAGACCTTACAGGATTTTGCTAAAATTCAGGAAACAATTTTTGTTCGAGGTAGAAAATATTAGAGTCAAATATGTGTCACGTCCTCATTTCTGACCCCATGTTACTTCTATCTTCTCCACAAAGAGGATATTGGACATCAAAGTCCAATAACAGCTCTTGCTTAGGAGCTTCTTTAGAGAGGTAAAGGCTGAATGAAGAAAACTGTTCAATAAACGCTGGGGTCAAAGTTTATCTTCTCCCTTTCTGTGACCAGAAGATACAAAGCAGGCCAAGATATTAAAAACATGTGTTGAGTGAGTGAAAGTAAGAGGTTAAATGCTAAAGAAAAATGTGATAGATAGCACAGGCAGGTTTTTTCTATTCTAACTTTTAGGAATGAAGTTTCAGATGGCTAGAACTGTTCAAGACATTTTCAAGCCTTTGAGAGGTAGTCAAAGAGGTAAAAAGAGAGATGGAACAGTTATGTGTGCATTCAACAAAGCCATAAAAGGCCAAGATGGAGATGTCAGATGGCAGCAAGAGAAACAACAGGACATGCATGAAGTGAAACAACAGGACATGCATGAAGTTTCTTCATGCATGTCCAGCATGGCTTAAAAGTAGGAAGAAAAGCTAGACTCTGGGGGCAAAAAATTAGCAGAAATATAGAAGTCATAAGAAAGGAAAGAGAATATTTTGTTCCAATAAAGGCAGTATCTTGATGGGTTAAAACAAAAACTTGCCTGGTGTGATGGCTCATACCTCTATGCTCAGCACTTAGAAGGCTAAGTCAGAAGTATTTCTGTGAGTTTGTGGCCAGCTCTGCTAGTTAACTGAATTTTATGCCAGCCTAGATTTCAGAATGAGGCTATCTCAACAACCTACAAGTTCACAAAATTGGTTCTTTTTCAGTCTACATACCCACCTGCTATGCTCATACTATTTTCTGAAGGAATATTCAGAATTTCAGAGGTTAATTTGAAATGAAGAAGAATTCTGAAAATTTTATACTAGCTGTCACATTATTGTTCTGGAAATAATGCACGCTGTATCTGCTTACAACTTACTACTTAAAAACAGTCATGTAACCCACATACTACAATGAGGGTAAACATGTACCCAGGTGCTAGGTCAAAGGATAGAACAAACACTAGATCAGTAGCACTGATAACTATGTGGAAAGGCATCTCTCAAAAACCTAAGAAAATTAATAAAATCTCATATTCAGAGGAAAAAATTTCTAATAATATCTCTGCTTATGTACATGATTAAAAATTTGAAATGGCATCAAACAACACAATCTCTAAACTACCTAATCTTTGGAATAAATCTGAGCTTATGGTGACATTGCTTATTCAAATAACCATATAGACAGACAAAGCTAAATATATTCTATATACATATTACTCCTATAAGAATATGAGTAAAAATATTGTATTTTCATGTAAATGTTTCTAGTATTGATTGCATTTGTTAGTTGTAAAATGCAGTGATAGACATTCATATACATCAAAATAGATGGTTTCTCCTGAAAGAATCTGTATAGTTGTCAGATTTTCTGTGTAATGGCTCCATACATAAATAAAAATTAAAAATTGTATTTTTTTCTTATATATGTACACACAGAATAAAATAAGTTCTCAATTCTATGTGTGATTTTTATAAATTGCTTAAGAAACTACACAGTTATTTGTTCAATAGCAGATAAAAATAAGTACAAATTAATTTGACTTCACATCTTATAGTAAAGGTCAAAGGTAGTTTGAGGAAATAATGTTATTGGAAAATAACTTTCAAGGAGCTTTCATCAGCAGGGTAAATAGAATTTCACAATGGCAAATTCAGATAGTAAAATCATTAATCAGTTACTATTTTTCCCCAAAAGGGTCACAGAGAATTTGTCAACTGTATTTAAAAGTTGACTAGAAAAAGTCTTTATCATTCAGAAATGATACCTATAAAACCTTTCCAAGTTCCTAAGAAAGTGATCATTAGCCCAGAGTATTTAAGGAAAAAGTAACAGGTCTGAAATGCCAATAGTCAGATTTGGTTTATATGCACTCACCTAAACAACAAGGGCTGCAATACATACCAAGGTTCTGCCATGTCATAGCCAGGACCTAGACATGCTGATGCCAGCATCTCTGGATTGTTGATTTTGTGACTTTCCATCTTTTCTTCAGACCAGGAATAGATTTTAATAAATTCCCATTTAGAACAAACTTCAGAGAAACATGAACAAATTTAGATAGAAAGCTAACATGAGTTGTCAGTGTTCCTCCTGGCCTGAAAGGCACGTCAGCTATTGTTAGCCACTGTTATTTTACTCATGTTTTAATTTTCTTACAGTGAGAAAAATGACTATGCAGAGACAACTATTAGGATTGTTTGCAAGTAACAAAAAATTATAAATAATGTAAGGAAAAGAAAGGTATACAAGACCACAGACACAGGCTAAGCAGCCTGCGCGAGTCTTGAAAATAAAGGAAAACTGAATCAGGGAGGAGAATACAATGTAAGAGTAACCTAGATGCCTTAAGATGAAGAAGGTACACATACGGATTTATATCATGCAGTTCAATCAGGTTCACCTCAGAGGAGATGCTGATTAGCCTACTTTTAATCAAGTTTCCATCCCTTAGCCAGGGAAGGTCAAGATGCTTTATTAATAGATCTATTAATCTTGCACACAGTGAAGAAGTGCTTATTTCCAAAAGAAGAATGTGTTTTTCAAACAGAAATAAATTAAGACCAAACAGCATACTGAATGCTCAAAGAAATAAAAGTTACAGTATATCGAGACATATTTCTATAAATTTTTAAATTTCACAAAATGCTATGAACCCCCAAACCTATGGTCACTTGATCTTTGACAAAGGGGCTAAAACCATCAAGTGGAAAAAAGATAGCATTTTCAACAAATGGTGCTGGTCCAACTGGTGGTCAGTATGTAGAAGATTGCAAATTGATCCATACTTATCTCCTTGTACAAAGCTCAATTCCAAGTGGATTAAGGACCTCCAACTAAATCCAGCCACACTGAAACTAATAGAAGAGAAACTGGGGAAAAGCCTGGAACACATAGGCACAGGAAAAAAGTTCCTGAACAGAACACCAATGGCCTGTGCTCTAAGACCAAAAATTGACAAATGGGACCTCATAAAGCTGCAAAGCTTCTGTAAAGCAAAGGACACAGTCAATAAGATAGAACGGCAACCAACAGATTGGGAAAAGATCTTCACCAAACCTACATCTGATAAAGGGCTAATATCCAAGGTATATAAAGAACTGAAGAAATTAGACTCTAGACAATCAAAGAACCCTATTAAAAAATGGAGCACAGAGCTGAACAAAGAATTCTCAACTGAGGAAGCTCAAATGGTTGAGAAGCACCTAAAGAAGTGTTCAGCATCCCTAGTCATCAGGGAAATGCAAATGAAAACAACCCTGAGATTCTACCTCACACCAGTCAGAATGGCTAAGATCAAAAACACAGGTAACAGCAGATGTTGGCTAGGATGTGGAGAAAGAGGAACACTCCTCCACTGTTGGTGGGATTGTAAACTGGTACAACCACTATGGAAGGCAGTCTGGCGGTATCTCAGAAAATTGAACATAGTGTAACCTGAGGACCCAGCTATACCACTCCTGGGCATATACCCAAAAGATGTTTCAACATACAACAGGGACACATGCTCCACCATGTTCGTAGCAGCCTTATTTATAATAGCCAGAAGTTGGAAAGAACCCAGAGGCCCTTCAACAGAAGAATGGATGCAGAAAATGTGGTACATTTATACAATAGAGTACTACTCAGCTATTAAAAACAATGAGTTCATGAGATTCTTAGGCAAATGGATGGAGCTGGAAAATATCATCTTGAGTGAAGTGACCCAGTCTCAAAAGAACATACATGGTATGCACTCACTGATAAGTGGATATTAGCCCAAAAGCTCACAATTTCTAAGAAACTACGTATAGACCACATAAAACTCACATAGAAGAAGGAAGACCAAAGGGTGGGTGCTTTGGTCCTTTCTAGAAGGAGTATCAAAAGTTTCAACCAGAGCTCCCAAAGTCTAAACCACCAGCCAGAGACCACAAAGGGAGGGACTCATTCACCTGTATAGGGAGGGAATTGAGGGTGACCTTGTTAGACTTCAGTGAAAGTGGAGGGCCATGGTCCCTGAAAGTTTGGATCCCCTACTGTGTGGGAATTCGAGAGCAGGGAGATGGGACTGGGAGGATGTTTGGAGCACACCCCCACAAAAATTAGGAGGATAAGGGATTCTGGGGGAGAATGGGAGGAGAGATAACATTGAAAGGTAAACATGTATAATATCCAATTACAAAAACCACACAGATAAAGGGTCTAAAAAAAAAAAGAGAGGGAAAGAGTTTACTTATTTTTAATTAATTTCCAAAGGTTCTAGGAGTTGCTAATTGGCTGAGATCCTATTTTAAGCTCTCCACAAAAGAATTTAAGTCTCTGTTCAATATTCTCAAGAGAGAGGTAAACCCAAATTTTCCTCAACAATTAATTGACAAAAGAGAGGTAATCTCACAAAAAGTAGAAGAAGCTATTACTATTCGATATATTATATAGTCTGATTAGTTGTCAGCGGTGCTATAACAGTCCTTTGACAAAAGATTATTAATATAGATTTATATATCCTTAAATAGGGTGTTCATGACTCTATGAGTGTGGAAGGAGCGACTGTAGGCACTTCTGCCCTGATTTTACAAGAACTCTGAAAAACTGGCTTTAAAAACAAAAGAGGGGAAATGATTCCCCCTCAGAAGGAGTCCCCCTGAAATACTCTCCATCATGCCTTGTTCACTTTTATCTCTCTGAAGCTGAAAGCTCATGACAAATCTGCTGCTGACTGCCTCTGGCACCACCGAGACCAACAAAACTTTGCCACAGATATGGGGAAGAACCCTCTTACCCAGAATGGCCCAGACCCAGTTCCCTTATGGAGCCGAGGACTGATATGCCTGTCTGATACCACAGAAGGCACAGCTAACTGGCTACCAAAAAGATTAATGAAAAAAATAGATACCCCAACAAAGTCAGGCCCAACCATAAATATGATGATTAACAATTTACATCCAGGGAAGAGAAATCTCCCTGAGAATCCCCTTCTTTTTATTTTTCCAGGTAAAAATGAATCACCTGTGATGTCTGCTGTTAGAAGTTCTAATCCAGATGCTGGCCTCCGAACTTATACTACTCAGACCTTTGAAGGGCCACTGACAAGAACATCAAATAGCTAGAGATTGACATCACTAATCTGAAGAAATCCCTCGTTTCGCTGTCTGAAGAGACCTCCTAAAATTGCAAAGATCCTTATTGGACTTGATTTACTCTAGTACAATAGAAAAGGCTGTATACAGCTCTTGACTGTGTACAACCCTCAAAGAAGAAGGTTGCCTTTACATAGACAAGACAAGGAGGGTTAAAGAGAGCATGAAATAGGTAGTGAAGGCCCTAAGAAAAATCAGAGAGAGAAAGAGACAGATGAAGGCTGGTACAAGAATTGGTTTTCAGCCTCTCCAAGGTTGTCAACCCTATTTCCTTCCATCTTGGGACCATTATTTGGGTTCTTTTTGCTTTTTTCTGCTGGTCCTTGGCCCTCAAATAGGCGTACTAACTCTGTGATACAACAGATAAATAATTTGGTAGTAAAACCTACTCAGATACATTATCATAAGTTAGCTATGGAGGACCACGAGACTCAAGATGAGGTTGTTACCTTATACAGGGTGTTTCCAAAACCCATCTCCACCCAACCTAAAAAGGGGGGACTTCTGCCCCTAGACCAAGCAGAGAGGGGCCACCCAGAACCCCCTCTGACAGGCGATCTGAATTCTTCCTTAGGCTGCGAGGCTAACCACTGCAAAGGAATATCAATAAAAGATAAAAATATCTATCTGGGTTCCCTGAGGGACAAGCCTGACTGCATAGGGGTTGATGTCAAAAGTATTCCCTCTCCAGGAAAAAGACATCGGGACGGGTATGGCCCTCATGCCTCACTGGACAACGACAGGGGGACTGGAGCCATTACAAGGTCCCCTTCAATTACTGGAGGTCAGGCCTCTATCCCCGCCTTCGCAAGTTTAGAATTGCCACAGCCCTTCTATACTTAGAGAAGGGAAGAGATGTCAGGGGCAACCCTGTTTACACACTGTAGGCCTAAAATCAGCCATAGGCCTAAAATCAGCAATAGGCCTGTCATACATGTATATTAACACCAAGTCTTGGGTCTCAGTGGAAAAACATTGAAACAGATGGCTATAAGCTAATGTCAACAGGCAGCTTTTGTGAAAATTTATAAGCCTGAGTAGTCATAGACCTTGTAAATAGGTAGCCTTGGCAGACAATACCAACTTAGATAAGGACAAGCGAGTCATAGGCAGAGTCATAGTGAATTGTCCCCTGAACCTTCACCTAGCCGATACCCGGTTCTAAAGATATCTGTATTCCCCCTGAACACCCACACTCCAGGGTCATTCCCTTCCCCACATCCTGCCTTTCTGTGTTTATAACCCCTGTGTGAATTAATTATGATTTGAGAAA